GGGGTTTTAAAAAAAAAAAAAAAAAAAAAAAAACTGTGAGTGTGGACCAGTTGTAAAACCTAAAATATTTCCTGTCTGGCCCTTAACAAAAGTTTGCAACTCTAGTAGGGGGTGTGCTACATTGCTGGCTTGTTCCCAGGTTAAAGATGAGTTACTGACAAAGCAGGCAAGAGGGATCCCCTGAATTGTAACTGATGTTTACATATATTCTTATTCTGAGATGGATTGAATGGGGGTGGCACAGTATGGACCAAGGTAATGTGGCCAAAACCAAATTAATCAACCTAACCCTTTTTCCTAGGAGAAATAAAATCTAGTCCTTCTGAAAGCCCCTTAATGGAGAAAAAGAGTAGCTTGAAAGAAGAACATGAAGAAACAAAGTTGTCTCTCAGTGATACTGAAAGCCAGATTCCTGTATCTGAGGTAGGATCTGCCAGTGTCCCCCTTCGGGCTGTGGTGGAGGAGAGAACAGTGTCATTCAAACTCGGAGACCTGGAGGAAGCTCCAGAGCAAGAGAGGCTTCCCAGAGTGGATCTGAAGGAGGAGACCAATGTAGATAGCACAATGAATGGTGAGTTGACATTCCCATTGTTGCTGTAGTCTCTCTGGTGCTGTGGAGATTTACTCTTGCTGGACTGGATTCTCTTGTACTGACTGTTAACTTTCATTCTTGGCCAGGTGCAGTGGAGTTGCCTAATGGGAACCTTGTTCAGTTCAATCAAGCTGTCAGCAATCAGATAAACTCAAGTGGCCACTATCAGTATCATACAGTGCATAAAGATTCTGGCTTATACAAAGAGCTGCTCCATAAGTTACATCTGGCCAAGGTGGGAGACTGCATGGGAGACTCAGGCGACAAGCCCTTGAGGCGCAATAATAGCTATACCTCCTACACCATGGCAATTTGTGGCATGCCTTTGGATTCATTCCGTGCCAAAGAGGGTGAACAGAAGGGTGAAGAAATGGAGAAGCTGACATGGCCCAGTGCAGACACCAAGAAGCGAATTCGAATGGACAGTTACACCAGTTACTGTAATGCTGTGTCTGACCTTCACTCTGTGTCTGAGATGGACATGAGTGTTAAGGCCGAGATGGGTCTGGGTGACAGAAAAGGAAGTAGTGGTTCTTTGGAAGAATGGTATGACCAGGATAAGCCTGAAGTGTCGCTCCTCTTCCAGTTCCTGCAGATCCTTACAGCCTGTTTTGGGTCCTTTGCCCATGGTGGCAATGATGTTAGGTCAGTCTACTTGGCACACTGGCTCTTTAAACTTCTTCTCTTTTTATTTGCTTGTTTGAGTCTCCTGCTTTCCACGTGATACTGAATAATCTAGATAGAGTGAAATAATAGCATTTATTGAACAGTATTTTATTCTTTAGAAAGATTGCAGAGTATTTTTAACTTTTTTTTTGGTGCCAGGGATCAAACTCAGGACCTTGTGCTTGCAAGGCAGGTGCAGTACCACTGAGCTAAATCCTTGGCGCCTAAACTTTATTTTTGTACATGGTAAATATAAACAGATGGTTTTCACTGAGAAACTTTCATCTGTCCAGATGAGGTTTAGTTCTTTGATAGTACATTGTGGAATGTAAGATGAAGGATTTAAAATCACTGTGCTGTTGAATGAACGTGTGGGTTGGTATCCTTAGTTCTGCGGACTGTAAGCTTTTTTGGGACCCCAGAGTTGCTTAAACTGCCTGTAGGAAGAGGGCCCCCAAGTGCATGGCACTCTGCTCTGCCAGAATAGCTTTCATTTTTTTCTGTCGAGTGCAGGTTCCATTTATTTCCTTTGAAAGAAAGGCTCATTTGCTAAATGAGCTTGAAAGGTTTAGACAACCTAGTGAATCGTTTAGTACTTAAGGTCTTATCAAACTATAGTTCTACATGGAAGGTCATTTTTGTCTTTTTTTTTTTTCTTACAGCAATGCCATTGGACCTCTGGTTGCTTTGTATCTGGTTTATCAGACTGGGGATGTTTCTTCAAAAGCGGCAACACCAATATGGCTTCTGCTCTATGGTGGTGTTGGCATCTGTGCTGGTCTGTGGGTTTGGGGAAGGAGAGTTATCCAGACCATGGGCAAGGATCTGACCCCAATCACACCCTCTAGGTGAGTAGGTAAAGCAGGTCTTAAAAAGTTTAGTGTTCATTCTTTTAAGAGATATAATACTGCATAGTGTTAATGCGCAAATATCTCAAAGGGACCAGGTTTGTTTAAGTTTCTGAGGTTATTCATGTTGTTGATTTGAGCCTTTTTATTGCCTGGTCTAAAACGTATTGGTTGAACATTTACTCAGCTTCTGAAGAAAATATATGTCCTGAATGAATAGCTAGCTATATGTACCTAGCTTTTGTGTTTATCTGGGAGCTAAGACTGATGTTTACTAAATTCCTCAAAATAAAAGTGAAATCTTTATTTAACAATATTCCAGAGGAACTTAACCCTCAGATGTTAGAGAATACGGTTGTGGGGAGAGTCCCATAGCCCCATTTAAAGTAGATTTCAAGGTAATAGGAAATGAAGATGTTAGGAGTTTTTGTTTTGGTACCGGAATCGAACTTGGGACCTTGTGCTTTCGAGGCAGGGCAAAACCACTGAACTAAATCCTCCGCCCTTGTTGGAAGGTTTTGTCACTGAGTAAAACCAGGCAGAATTGTGTTAACTAAAGATTCTCATTAGTTTATTAAAACAAAAATAAAATCCTGAATTCTTGACAAAGAGTTTTTATGTCTACAGTGGCTTCAGTATTGAATTGGCATCTGCCCTCACAGTGGTAATTGCATCAAATATTGGCCTTCCCATCAGTACAACACATTGTAAAGTAAGTATCATAAAACATTCGTGTACCTTTCAATAGTTGTAATAATATGTGGAGTGTTTTATTGTTTCCTTTAGAAAGCTTTATGTAGTTGTAGCCTTAAGGACAAGGGACTATAAGAATAAAGGCTTCTATTTTACAGTTTCTTGCCTATTCTTAAGTTCTTTTATATGGAACTAGCTGTAGTTTCTGGCTGCTAACCTCTTCCATTGTTACTTGTCTGTCACTGTCATTACAATTACTTTATGGTGTTTTTGGTCTTGAGTCATTTTTACTTAGCAGTGTTATGTTCTTTTCCTGTGGAGAAACTATTCAGAGTAATGTGGGTACATGCTAATAAACTGGCCAGCTATTTGGTTCTGGCTGAGTGGGCTTTTGCTACCACTTGTGGCTGATGCCCTGGTTTTAACAAATCTGTGAGTCTTGTTCAACTGTTGGAAGGATAGATTATTTACAGAAAGCATATATTCAGAGCCTTTCAGGACTGTAGTACTGAGTGTATTCTTGTACCATTTTTAGTAAAAATTAGCACAGATTTAATGATTTGATTGTTGCATTACCATCAACTTCCTATGAGTAATCATAACCTGTTAAAAACCGACTTTCATGGAGTTGATTTTGTCCATTTGGCTGGGCTCCTTGTCTAAACAACTTCAGGTGTCTTTTCGCCAAAATACTTTGGGCACTTAACTAACCAGTTTCCTTGGTCTGTCTCTCTCTTAGGTGGGCTCTGTTGTATCTGTTGGCTGGCTCCGATCTAAGAAGGCTGTTGACTGGCGACTCTTTCGCAACATTTTTATGGCCTGGTTTGTCACAGTCCCCATTTCTGGCATTATCAGTGCTGCTATCATGGCAGTCTTTCAAGTATCTTATCTGAGAATGTAAATCTCAGATTTAAATTTATGTCAATGTTTGGGACCACCTTACACATCCCTGCTCCTTTGAAGAATGATTACAGTGTTACTGAAGACCTGACAAGTCTTTTTGAAAGTTTGGGAGCTGTGGGAAGGAAGTGTTATTTTATGCTGTAATTGCTTTTGTGCTAAATATGACTTGTCTCAAAATTAGCTATGTAAAATAACCAGGTTTCCACTGGTTCCTCCTGAGGTCCCCTTGCTTTCTGGGCTGTGAATTCCTGTATATATTTCTCTACTTTTTGTATCAAGCTTCAATTCCATTATGTTTTAATGTTATCTCTGAAGATAATTGTGTGTGTGTGTGTGTGTGTGTGTGTGTGTGTGTGTGTGTGTGTGTGTGTTTAAACAATCATGCAGAGCCAGTTGATGGAGTGTACTCTCTTTAGTTGGTTTCACCAGCTTCTGCCCTAATATGCACAGGGATTTAACAACAAAACTTGTAACTGAAGCTTCCCTTGTAGTCGCCCATAGAAATAGAATCATTGGCACTCTGCCGTCCTGTCAGTTGTGGCAGGTTCTAGTGGCATATGTGGGAATGTCTTAGAGGGATGAGGTTCTTTGAAAACAGTGAAAATTTAAGTTACTAGTAACTTCTTTGTAAGCAATTCATTGACTGTTGCTAAGAAGTAGGGAGAAAAAGCCTTTTGGCAATCTTTGTACTTTAAGATTTCTGGCAGTGTGGGATGGATGAATGAAGTGGAATATGAACTTTGGGCAAGTTAAACGGGACAGCCTTCCATGTTCATCTGTCTACCTCTTAACTGAATAAAAAAAGCCTACAGTTTTTAGAAAATTTGTTCTCATGGTTTTTGTTCATATTTGAATTGTCTGTTCATGATCAATTAGTCTTATATTGTGAATGTCATTACAAGTGAGAGCTATCTGCCTTCAAGTTCCACACTCCCTTTTTATTTTTGTGATCCCAAAATATGCATGACATTACTCCCTAGGGATTTTTCCTTTAATAGCACAATTTAAGACATTTTCATACTAGTGCTTATAGATGCACTTGTTTTTAACAACTTGAGTTTTCCTGTTTGTACTGTTCTCCTGCTTCACCTCCAGAGTGCTGGGATTCCAGGTGGGCACCACCATGCTTGACCCTAACTTATTTTATTTCACATAGATGGTTTCTAGCTTTAATATTACAAAGAAAGCTGAGATGAGTTTTGTATGTATTTGTAGTTCAGCTTCATTTAAAAATTGCCAGTTTTGGATTCTTCAGTCTTGACCCATTCTCTCTTTTATCCTTGATCAGAACAGTTAATAAAAAATATATTTCTTTGAAAACTAGGTTGATGGTTTCTGTCCTGGAAGTTGTGGGACAATACTTTTGAAGTTTTGATTTTCTTGAGAGTGTTTTAATAGAATTTAGCATTAAGACTATCAAAGGATAAGGCTGTCTAATTAGACCTGTGCCTGTTCTATGGCCTCACATAAGCCCAGATTTTTCCAGGGTCCTGTTCTTAATGGAGAACAGTACCCCTGCCAACATTTTTGGAAGAACAGCTGTTCTTGGGAAGGAGGAACCCTAAACTAGGCTGTGACCAGAAGGGAATTTATATTTCCATATCTAATAAGGAAGTTATTATTGCTGGAAGAGCTGACCTGTTTTTTTGAATCGTAGATGTTGCCTTTATTTGTATTTTTATTTTTTTGAGTCAGGGTCTCACCATGTAGTCTGGCTTTGAACTCTCAGTGATCCGCCTGCCTCAGCCTCTCAAGTACTGAGATAACAGGTGTGTGTCACCACACCAGGCTTTGTTGCCTTTTTTAAAACACATGCAAAATCAAGGTTGTATGCATTTCATTAAGGAGTCTGACAAAAATTGAGGTCTCTCGATATTTTCCCTTTCCTGAGTCAACCACTTCCATTTCTTTGGGTATTTGTTACTGTCTATCTAAGTAATACACATTTTATTTTTAGACTGAATGTATGGTCAGCTGTTGTGAGGCTGCAGGTTCTTCCCTTAGTTCTCAACAAAGGGTAATGTTTACTGATCTCATCCCAATTTTTGGTTGTCACAACTGGCCAGAGTGCTGCTGTAAACATCTGACAGTGCACAGCACTGCTGTGGTGAGAAACTCTGATGATGCAGGGTGATCTGGTTGGGCTCCTTGCCTGGGGAACCCTAGAGAAGATTCAGAAGGGCAAAAGCCTGACTTCTCCAAGTTCTGGGCCTCACTGGGGGAAGTAGTCACCATGCATTTTAATCTCCCTGTTGCTTTGTATAGGTTGCTTTGTGTGTCTCTTATAGTGAAATTTAAACACTATAGATTAGTAAATACCAGTGCCTGGACAGCATGGTATAAATTTCAGTCACTGTGGTATATTAACTGAGTAACTGCATAATGTGTAAATTTATTGCTAGCTTTTCAGTGTGAGAAAAATCACCTTGAGAAAATACCAGCTGCAGGTTATAATTTGTGATCAGTTCATAGTTTTATCCCAGTCTGTTGGTAATTGGTTAACTATGCATTCGTTACTGAGTTTGCGCATGACATGGGTTCTGTGTTGCCTGCTTAACTCAGCAGTAGAGATGCTACGCTAATTTTAGACTGCTATTGACTCTTAGTCCTCCTGTGAAAATCTGCTTTGTGTCATCAAATGCCATTTTCATTAATCCAGCCAGTGGACAAAGATTCTCTCTTTTTTATTTTTTTTGGTAATGGGGATGGAACTCAGGGCCTTGCACTTAAAAGACAGGTACGGCACCACAGAGCCTAAAGCCTAACCCTTATTTCAATTTTTAAAGTTTTTTTTTTCTTTTTAATTTATTTTGAGGTGGGATCTCACTAGATTTTTTTCCCTGGCTGCCTTGAACACTTGGGCTCAACTGCTTCTTTGCCTTAGTTGAGACACCAAGCGAGTGCCATGCTGTCCCCCTGAAAACTCTTAGACTTTGGATAGGCTCTTGATGATACACTTAAACATCTTGCAATTTTTTTGCCTGAAGTTCGAAAGAAACTAAGATCATGGCAAAAGTTAACAGTAACATTCAATGGGGCAGAACCTGCAAATAACTTCAGGAGTCAAGCCACATATTAATTGAGGTATAGTTGAAGACTGATGGGATGGCTGTTGGAGAAATTCTATGTAGGTAGCCAAAGGAACATAGTGAGGGTAAACTAAGCAGAAAGGGAAGTGATTATAATAAAGAGAAAGCAGATATCACAGGAAGTGTTGCTGGCCAGAATTTGATAGAGAAAGACCTCTTGGAGATTTTATAACACTCAAAGCCCAAAGGGTAAAATGGTAGAAGCTGATTTAAAAACTAAACACTTAATGCCAATATTGCCAATGTCTTGGTGTGCTAAAAATGATACTTTCACTATTTTCCACTTCTCTATATATTTTTAAATATTTAAACAAAAGTTTTAAAGTTCACTGAACAGCTGTACTTCCTGTTACTATATCCCTTTGTGTGGTTTTAGCATGTGTGGCCATTTTTGTAGACCCACATATGTGCAGATACCTGCATTGTCTCAACTCCCTGCCTGCTATTTCCCATTCCTAGACCCTCTTGTGCCCTTTATAAAGTGGATTTCCAGCCTGATGCCACATGGAAGACTAATGCCTGACTTTGGGAAGCCACAGGCTTAACTATTTCTTTTAAAAAGGAAGTTTCATTATGGAAATGTTCACAGTGTACCTGAAAGTAGACTATAAGGAGCCCCATGTAGTCTCTACCCGATATCCAACACCAGCAAGCTCAAGGAACAATCAACTTTGCTATTTTTATTTCATCCATTTCTTCCTCATACATTTAACTTTTTTTTTTTTACAATTATTTTAAAGTAAATCCTAGACATACATCACTGTAAAATACTTTAGGATGTGTCTAAGAGATAGTGATTTTTTTGTTATTTATTTATTTATTTATTTATTTATTTATTTATTTATTGTTTTGGTACCGGGGATTGAACTCTCGGGTCCTTGTGCTTGCAAGGCAGGCCACCAAACCGCTGAGCTAAATCCCCAACACCAGAGATAGTGATTTTTTTTTTTTAAAAATGTTAGCACTAGGGCCAGAGATTTAGCTCAGTGGTGCCACCACCTGCCTCTCAAGCACAAGGTCCTGAGTTCGATCCGCAGTACCAAAAAAACCATGTTGGCACAATGTATTATAAAATTAATAGTAATTTTCTAATAACCATCTAATACTCCAGCTACCCAATTGCTTCTTAGACTTTCAGTCTTTCTGACTTTAGCCCCTTCATCTCTTCCAAAGAGCCCAGGTGTCTTAATTTCTGAGACTTCCAGTGGCCAAGTTAGGTTTAGCCTTCCCAGTTCTGCCAAGTCCATCTGCTGTCCAGCTGCTGCTGCTTTGTAATTGTCTCCTTGCCTATTCAATGCTTCTGCAGTATTCCCTGATGCTGTGTTGGCAATGATTCAAAGGATGTAAAGATGAATGTTTATGTGTTTAGGAATTGCTGATTAGTTTGTATTTTAGTAATGTTTTTTAAAAGTGAAAATGTTTTTCTCTCTTTTTGGTACCAGGGATTGAACTCAGGACCTTGCATTTGCAAGGCAGGCTTGGTGCTACTGAGCTAAATCCCCAGCCCTAAAAGTGAAAATTTTAGTGGATAGTTACATTGAAAAGAATTTTAACAATTAGGTATAGAAAGTAGAGAATGAAAGAACCTGGCTAGCTTTCCCCTTTTCTCAATCTTATTACCCAAAGGAAACATCTGCCAAAAGTTTGCAAATCTTTTAGGAATTTTGCCTAGCTGTATGTGTGCCTATGCACAAATACCTGCAGAACCTCGGAGATAAAGCTGTTTATTCTGTGGTAAAGCCTCTTTGGTATGTAGGAGTCAGATGGTTTCATTCCTAGAATAAATGTCAATGTTGAATCACGTGGTAGTTGACACTAAATGGGTGTTACACAATTGTGCATGTGTTTACTTGCAAGTTGCCATAAATGTTGAAAGCTGGGCTAAACTGGGCCAAGCCAGTGCTTTTGATAGTTCATTTCCTGATTGGCAGGAAATAAAAGGATTTGTTTTTACTCTGCTTCACTTTCACCTTTAAGCAATATAAAATTGCTTTCTGAAGATGACAAAGTTAAGCCTTGCTCATTAAAAGGGTTATGATGTTCCCTTAAAAATGTCATGGTATAGTATGGGGATGCCTGGACTGTTCAAAAACTTTGCTCCATTGTATTTCTGCTGGGTCTAAGATGTTTGTAAATATTCTAATTGCTAATAATTTTCTCTTGGCTCTTATCAAAATCTTGTTTAGTGCTCTGAATTTCTTGGGGTTACCAAATTCATTCCCCACAGTGTGAAAATTGTTTCTCTTTTTAATTGTTCTCTGCCCTTATCTTCAGTTGGCCTG